ATCCGCTGTCTGGCTGTAACTGATCTTTGTGTTGGACTAATCGCAGAACCGGTTGCTGTAGTTTTTCTTCTTTCCATGGTATTCCAACGCTCCAATCTTTGTCGATTCATGATGGTGGTTTCATCCGTAATTAATTATTTATTGTGTTCAGTATCTTTGTCGACGATGACTGCTATAAGCGTGGATAGACTTCTCGCCCTGATGTTAAGGCTGAGATACAAACAAATTGTAACTTTAAAACGGACATTTACCGTTGTAGTAACCATTTGGGTCACAGGCATTGCTGGAGCAACGCTGTATATTGTAGATCCCCGTATAACTGTCTGGTATGGTCGAATAGGTATACCAATGTGCCTAACACTTTCTTTCGTATCGTACACAAAGATTTTCTACACATTTCGTCGCTGGGTCCAAGTAAAAGATCATGAACAACAACAACCACAACAACTTAACCATATATCCCCACTAAACACGACTCGATACAGAAAAGCAGTGTACCGTTCGCTTTGGGTACAGGTGGTGTTAATCGTCTGCTATCTTCCTCATCACATAGTAATAACTTTCTCAAGCAATAGTGGATTAACATCGTCACACTTTCTCGCATCGAGTATAACTGGTGTTTTGGTCTACTTAAATTCTTCGTTAAACCCACTCCTTTACTGGTGGAAGATAACTGAGGTTAGACAAGCAGTTAAGGAGACAATAAGACAAGCACTTTTATGTTCGTGGAGTTAGATTCTTGTCCTAACTGTCAGAGGGAAATTGCTCTCTTTTATTGTCTCAGTGGAACTCTTTTTACTTCTCCTGATACATGTGGGGGTTGTAAGTCCTGGCACTGCGTGATTGCTCTATGAATCAAGTGGGTTCACAGACATTTTCTCTTTGAATGATTTAATGAGGCACGTGAAGATGGCGCGATAGTGACTGCAGACCAGGGAAGAGAAAGGAAGAAAGCTCAGAACCCTCGTGTTTGCGTTCGTTAAATACTGCAAAGCCTTAATTATGGTCGATAATTGAAGAAAAAAATAGGAAGTCTGAGAACAAACTATGAGGGACGGTTTTAGATGGAGAACAGGTGGCTAGTGCAAATATCTGGTACAATCGGTGTCACTTANCTGCGGAAGTAGAAAATCAACACATTAGTTAATAGCATTTGTTGACAGCTCTACACACCTTGCCTGAACTGAGGCTTCACAATTTGCAGAGTAATATCACTTACTTTGTTTTTATATTCCACAGCTGCATCTGGCCTTGCTTACTGCACAATATGATCTTATTTAGATATGTACTGGGATGCATCAAACAAGTGATGTGGAAGTTTTCAGCATTAAACTTCATCTCAAGGTACAATTCTAGAAAAATAGAGTTTGAAAGATGTAATCAAAGCAGGAGAAACTAAGAGTATTTTTTGGGCAAAGATAAATCAATTTACTTCTCATGAACACTAAGTCATCTCACATCCAAATTGATTAACCCTTTAAATCCCAAGATCTGATTGTTAATTCTCCCTGAAGCTGCTACACATGTTCCTGTAAATTAATAAAGGCTGATAGTTTCTAAAGAAACTGTTTGGGGCTGTGTCGCTGGGGGTAACGAAATAATTTGGATATATAAACAAAGTTGAAATGGTAAATTGGCCACTGTAATGATTACAAAAGCTGACGTTTCGAGCGTTAGCCCTTCGTTGGAGCCATTCAACTTTGGAATGTCGGAACCATTTAAACTTTGTTGATATATACAAATTACTCCTGTAAATTAGTTTTCAGAATTTGGTGTTAGATCAAAATAACAACTTCTACCTGATAAGTTTGAGTATTCTTGTTACCTATTTGGTGGATAATGACTTTTGTATGGATATTATAGGGAGAAGTTACATGTTAATCACTTCTGGGAGTTGAAGGGTTTATTGCAATCCTTTCCTTACCTTTTTTTCAAATTCAGTTACCCTTGAATAATTTCAATACCTATAAACTGATTTAATCTTGTTCATAGTATTTCTGAATCAATTCTTAAAATATCATCATATACCTGAAAGTTGATTTGGCTTAAAATGTTCAATTCACATACCTGTTGTTTCAATAACCCATATTCGCACTGTACTTTCTTCATCAACAGAAATCAAATTTGAACCAAATGAGAGGACAAAGTGAATGTTACTCTTGTGTCCCTCAAACACTGCGACCTACACCGAAAAAAAGGAAATACCAAAAAAAAAAAACAATCCATCAACCAATAAAACATCTACTGGTCAGGCTATAAGCCACTGAGTGCGACTATTTACTTTCCACATCGAAACCAGTCGCTAGACATTTTAATTTACCTAATCATTCTAAGCAACATATGGCAATCTGCGGTCTTTCCTTACACTTAGGTAGCACGGAAAGCCGTAAAAATCTTGAACAAAAGCTCATCTTTCAAACCGGCAGTCTAAATCCCACAGGGATCAACGAACGCTTTTCATTCCACTAATTTATTCTTGTTTTTCTCGTTGCCATGTTCCCACCAATAACGTAGCTCCATTTTCTGCCTTTAAAAGCACACACAACCCACAATTCCTCTATTCGCTCCGACGAAGGGCTAACGCTCGAAACGTCAGCTTTTGTAATCGTTACGGTGGCCAATTTACCATTTCAACTTTGTTGATATATCCAAATTAACTCCTAAAAAACATTCACGTTCAGTTACCGCGTAAAGGTAACTGAATGTTAAAGGTGACTAATAATACTATGTGACTAAACACATAGTTAAAAGATAGTTACAATTTTTTAAAAGTATGTGAGAAAATAAAATACTTAATGTTATACCAACGTTTGGTGTCTATGTTTAAAAACTGTCTTTAATTCTGTACTTGTATTTCTTTTATGACTGATTCATAAAGAAATCTTACTCGGAATTTTGCTGGTTTTCCAACAGTTATACATGCATAATTTTGTTTCATCATCTTTTCTCTTAGTTTGAGAGTACTTTCTGTGCCCCAGAGGGGGTAATTACTTTGGAAGCCAATTTTGGTTATTAACACAACTTTTTGCCCTCTTTGTGATACCTAATTAAAAAGGAACCTAATTACGCAAAAAAAGAACACAAAATGGAGAATATAATTTCTTGGCAGAATTCTTTTACACATTTCAAGAATCCCCTTACAAATACCTTCAACAAGACTTCGGCAAAAATCCAAATATAGATGGGATGCCGATATTCATTTATTAATTGCTCTTGATCATTATATTAGTGAGGCGAACAATAAACTTCGCACTCGACTTTAATTTTTTTTTATGTTCCTCTCACTTTTTTAAGCTGTTACCTAACAGCCATTAGCCCATGGATTGTAGCTAAGATGAAATGGTTGCGTTGCAATGGGTTGATTGATTTCCCAAGACTCTACAATAAAGATATCCTATTTTTAAAACATTCAAAAAGCAAATATTATTCTAAGCACTTTTATTCCTCAAACTTCTGTTGCTTTTTAAAGCATTCTTGTTAACACTAGCTGGCTTTAGTTAGAGAACACTGAAAATTTCGCTGTTAGAAAACTGGACTGAATTTTTTTTTTGGCATGGATACGGTAGACTATGCACAAATCAGTACTTACTGTGGTGACGTGACAAAGTACCACTCATCTTTTTCCCTTCTGCTTTGATAAACAATAGGAATTAAGGTTCTATACAGCAGAAGCTCTTTTGAGTCACGCGTGCGGTCAGCGGTTACAGAGCTATTTTCAAAATGGCGGCATCCACAGTTGAATTTATCGTAACACACAACTACACCAACTCTTATGGACACAGTTCAGTAATTTATTAATTATCTAACCGTCACTCAAAACAATTAAATTTTTTGTTGAATCAAATTGCATCTAGTAAGTGTCCTCTTTCATTCAATAAATGATTTGAAAAGAAAATTATCCTAATCATACACCACCTCGCTTAATCAATTTTCTCACACTTAGAAGAAATAACTATTGGCCGATCAAGCCGTAGTCGAATTAAAAATTGTGGCTTAATTAAATCTATTCCGAGCTCACAGTGAAAGACAAGTTCAGTTTTTGAACAGGCGAAACAAACTTAGTTAAACGGTTCCTGCTCTCAGAAGGTGAGCCTGGATTATTTCACCAATCCACCATTGTCTCTCCAAGCACTCCTCTTATATTCAAGGTAGGTTACGGCAGGATTACCTTTGTGAATTTTTTCGTTGTGCAGATCAAATATTCTTTTTTGATCCAAGCCATCTGGGATCCAGTCGTTCTTGTTTCTTTTTGTGAAGAAAACTGTGATCAGTTTGTCCAAAAGTTCTTTGTTTCTTGTGAACTCGTCATGTATCACCTTTCCGTCAAAGGTGACCCAATAATCTTCGATTTCTTGTTTCTCGTTTTGAATGAGGGATGAAGCGAGGCGTGACCTGATCAACACAACACAGTCACTATTGCGAACGGCCCATGTAAAATCTTGTTTCTCTGCTAAAATATCGAGGATATTTCTCACTTCTGCTGTGTTTCGTAGTTTACCAGCTAAACAATCCAATAGTTTCTGGGCTTTGTTGCCTTCACTGTTAGTGTACAAGTACAGAACTTATTTCATTTTTTAAGTCTCGTTACTGTGAGTTATTAACAATAGGGTTGAATTCACAAATCAGTGTTCTTAAATGTCTTCGGTAAACTATGATATATGACTCCAATAATCGACCGAGAGACAGCTTGTTTACGTATTACACTGAAGCAAATCAGGGAGTAGTGGCAAGAAAAGCAAAAATCGCAGAGCTTTGATTAACATTTTAATTTTTTTGTATTTTATAACAGGCACTTTATTTAACATAAGGAATCTAGAATTCTGTATAAACTGGCCTAATTACTCAGATATCTCTTTTTTATACTTGTATATATATTTAACTCCTTGTTTTTGTTTTGATTATCTGTGCAATTGAATTTGAGTAAATGAGTAAATGAGTAAATAAATAAATTTATAGTCAAGGCAAATATGTGAAATGCTTGCGGAATTTGTGAAAAAAACAGCCACAGCAAATATATATGTTTTTCGAAATGCTATTCAAAGCAAGAGCAAGCACTTCACCAGAGCTCTCAAATTCCGAAAGCAAAAGAGCTAAATACTCTATTATTTTAAGGTGCTTAGGCTGTTCAATGGACATGTATCCTTGAAAGGAACACAGTGCAGAATCAAACAGGACTCATAACAGATGTGAAAAAGAAACTAATTTGTTTGCATAATTAACATCGTTTGTTGTAAAGATAACCTCAAAAGAACACATTTTCAACAAATACACGTGTGTCCGCCTTTTCCTTTCGAATTGATCGCTTTATTTGCCTTGACTTCTCAAAAATCAGGAACTGTAAGCAAAACTAAAGGCTGGTCCTTGGATGAATTTTGAAGCAGGTGAAAGCTCTTGTCTCTCTCCGTTCTGCTGAAAGTACATTGATTAATTGGCTCTGTAAGGCTAGTTCCGGTGAAATTAGGACGGTTTAAGTTAGGCCTCATCAATAATAATAATAATAATAATAATAATAATAACAATAATGGTAATAATAATAATAATAACAGCGGTTTAATGACGACTTTTCTACAGGGTAGCTCTACATTCATCATGCAGTAAACATGTAACTATGTTACTGATAAACAATAATGATAAAAAAGAAAAAAAAGATTGGATGTATGTGCAATTAGTATACTTTCAGAGCCGAGCAAAGAGTTTCCAGCAATCTGATTGGTCGAGCGGTTTCTATTTAGTTCTTGTTAACCGAGCGGGAAGTCTGTATGGGAGAATCTTGACCGAAGTCGCCAGTACAGACCGAACGCAGTGGGGTCTATGCTAGCGACCGAGATAAGATTCTCCCATACAGACCGACCTAGCTCGGTTAATAAGATGTTTATTATATGGCTGTGTCTAGAAAGCAACGGAACATGATATTCTTTGTAATTTTTTCTTCTAGACCGGTCTACATGCCGGTCTGGAGGGGAAAATCTAGACCGGTTTCAATATTGATTTCAGCCAATCAAATTCGTGAATTCGGTAGTTCCCAGTCCTTGAGAGAAACAAACCGCTCCACGCGGTTTATATAAAATGTTAAAATGAAATGTTAATAAATGTTACTAAAATGTTATTATTCTAGAAATCTCTCTTTTGTTCAGCTCTGAAATTGTATTAAAACAATTATTCGCCTCAGGTTCGGCATCCACGGAGACCCAGGGGCAGTGAGTCGATTTCAAGTCGGGGCGGAAGAGCCCCTGGAGACATTGTCTTACAAGACTAGTTCCAAACGGTCGCAGTCGTTCTGGCATCTGATTGGTGCGAGAAAATCTTTGTGTTTTTCTGCCCAATCAGAGTGAAGTGTGCTTTAGAGTCCTTTCGTGTATTTTAACACGGACATATACAAGACGCTCAGTTGCTCGCCATGTTTGTTTGGGCTGTGCGACGGAGCTTTGCTCGAGGTGAAAGGTTTCAGTCTCAGCACTTAATGTAAGAGAAATCGATCAGATTGTCCACGAAAATTATACTGAATACTTTCGCAGGTATGAATATGAACAAAAATGATGCCAATATGAACAAAAAATGGAAAAAGATATCTCTTAACAGATATCCTTCACAGATTTTTATCTGAAGGGAATCTCCGAATAAAGAACTTAAACAAGACTTTTTGTTTCATTTCGGCGAAATTCCAGATTACAAATAGGAAGCTGTTCCGTAATTTGTGAATAGTTCTTGATTATCACATAAGCAGGGAAAACAATGAACTTTACACATGGGGCAAATGTTTCCTTTGTTTACACTCCTTCTGCTTTTTTAACCTATTAATTAATTAAATGTTTTGAATTCTGGCTAAGATGAAACAATTGAGTGAATTAAATTACTTTCAAGGGTATTTCCCTAGAAAAAATAATTAAAAAAACAAACAAACAAGCAAATGATATCCTAACAACTTTATTTTCCTCAGATTTATGTTTCTTTTTTAAAGCATCCTAAGTACCCAGTGTATCATTTTCATCTGGTTGAATACTTTGCACAAAATCATTTTCCTATATATTTTGGAGAGGAAAGCCTTAATCTTAAAACCAGCGATAGCCGCTGTTTACACCATTTTGAAGATTCAATATCAGGTACAATCAGTGTCAGTCATCGGACGAAAGACATTTCATTCTAGTTTAGTTTTGAAATATTCTTAAACTTTCAGTCGTTGAGACATCTGTGACACGTAAAGTGTTCATGCTGTGATCTCTACTTTTGTTTGAAAACAAGATAATCAGTACATATATGACCGAGAAAATAAATTCAAATATGTAAATGAAAAAATTTTGAGGGAAGTTTTTTATTATCAATGCATGCACGCAGGACGCTCTAAGCGGAATAAGTTTCGTTAAATCAATCGTATATTAGCCATTTTTCGAAGACAGTAATTATCTGGTAAATTAGCTATGAATATATGAAAATCAGATATATCTGGTAAATTATTATTAATCACTATTTTCATTCTCTTCGCTGGGCAAGAAAATTTAGACTTTCTTCCACGAAGTTCTCTCCTAGACTATCTCCTAAGTGTGAAGGGCCTATGGTCTGTTTTTTCATTTGTTTAGTAGATAAGACAAGTGTAACCTACACAAACTGCGAGAACCTAAAAAACATTCGGTGCACGTACAAGTCAACGCATAAACACTTAATATATTGCGTATTTTCAATCTTTCATCGAGGCAGAGTTATCAAGTTGATTTTTCTGTCAAAGAGTGAGATAGCTGTCGGTTGTGACACCACAGGCGTCACCTTCCGGGTTTAGGGGTATGCTCCTTTGGCACATTGGGAATAAAATGAAGTAGCTAAGATTTGTATTCCTTTAATGGGGGTGTATAGCCTGTGAGCAGGCTCTCTAAAGGTTCTTGGCACTCGCCTCCGGTCCACACACCGCGAGAAGCGTGCATGTTCACAGGCCAGAAAGTGTGAGGAGATTACACGTTACCGGTCTGTGTCAGCATGTGAACATGTGCAATTGAAAACAGCGGTAAAGAATTGTTTTGATAGGTTAGAGATTAGTTCTGATCATCACACACAACTACAACTAATCCGCTTTTTTACAATCACATATTCGCTTTAAATTACTTCTTCTCTTAATTATCAAAATACTAGCGGTCCTCGAAAGCAGAAAATTTCAATTACACACAGGTGCAAGTGGTCTATCTGTAGAATGAAACGACATGCTCGGTTTCAACCATCGTGGCAAATCCTGTCACACGCTGAGGAAGCTGCGCTCTAATACCAATCCACCATTGTCTCTCCTAATGCTCTTCTTATGGTATATTCAAGGTGGTCCAGGACGGGATTACATCCATGAATCTTTTCACCTTGCAAGTTGAATATTCTTCTTTGATCGAGACCATTTGGAACCCAATCATTCTCGGTTCTTTCCATGAAGAAAACCAAAATCAGTTTGTTCATAATTTCTTTGTTTCCTGTGAACTCATCATGTATGACTTTTCCGTCAAATGTGATACAATCATCTTCGATTTCTTGCTTCTTGTCTTTGATGAGAGAAGACGCAAGGCGTGACGCGATTAACACAACACAGTCACTCCTGCGAATTTCCCAGCCTAAATCATGTTCATCTGCTAAGATGTCGGCGATATTTCTCACCACTGCTGAGTTTTGTAGTTTACCTGATAGACAATCCAGTAGTTTCTGTGCTTTGCTCCTGTCGCTATATGGGCATAGATAAAGAACGCGCTTCATTTTCGAATTGAGTTGCTTGGTTATGTTTAGAAAAAAACAAGTTTTACAAGCGACTCTGAAAGATCTCGCTTGTGAACTTGAGCATGCAACTGAACTGATCTACTGAGAAGCAACTCGTTTAAATGTGACTGAGAAGCAAATCAGAGTGTGGTCGACGTTTTAAGAAAGTATGAAAGGTATCCGAAGCAAATGTGTGAAATTTGTGCGAAATTTTTGGAAACATTTCAGCCATGTGAAAAACACATTTTTGTTCAAAAATGCAAACAGCAACAAGGGTGCGCGTTTCTTCAGTAAAAGCTCTCAAACTACGAAAAAGAAAAGATTCGAATATTCTTATCATTTTAGAGGTCAGGATTCTCTCCTGCACAATTATGTCTGGACAAAGTGCAATTCATAATTTAACGCGTAGTAATTAGGTGATACAAAAAGGAGAATTTACATTAAATTATTTTTTCACAGCCACGTACTTGCATAGATTTCTTTTGATTTCGCAAGGATATCAAACTTGAAATAACCTAAAAAAAAATTCCTTTGTGCTTCCTCTTTTCTTTGTTTTGCTGACGTTCGTTTTACTCCTTTTGCTCTTTTTACTCTTGATACTCATGCTAACCCCAGCCAAGCAAATGCGCGCTGGAGCACAAAGTAGTTTTAACGTATTACATGTATACACTTAATTATCGAATTTTTTTCACGATGATTTTTTCCTTTTTTTAATAAGACACCATATAAATTTGCTTTCGAAAACCAATCACATTCTCAAAACGTAGGACTTCAAGGTTAAAGCTGCCATGAAGGCGGCAAGTGAAAACAAATGCTGAGGTGGTTCGCTACTCCTGGATTGGAGAAGACCTAAAAACTGCCGCCGATCAGCAAGACAGAGAATTTTTCGCGCACACTCCGCCCACATTTTTTACCAAACAACACGAGCCCAAAGCCTGACGGGATATGATCTTGCTCTGCTGCAGCAGTTTTGAGAATCTTCCTTTTCGCGCCTACCGGGAAGTCGGTTATGTACTTTATCTGCAAAAATGAGCTCTTAGTTGGACTGAAGTACCCGACAAGTAATAAATAAACGGGAAAGGAAACTGAAGAATTGTTGCTGAGACATACAGAAAATAGAAAGTGTTTCGGCAAACGAGAAACATAAACCCAAGTTGATTATTAATACAGAAAAGATTTCATGGAAGAAGAATTTGACGAGGATTTCTGGTTAAAGGTAATGCAGACAGTGCTTAGTGGATAAAACTGGAGCCTCGAAATAATCTTTTACTGACAGAAGCTACTTTATAAGAAAGGAAAATCGCATGCAAGCAAACTTCAAACGAAGAGAAATACTCGAAACTCGCTGGCAAACTGCAAAAAATTCAGTATCGTCTTTACTTTACCATATTCAGTTAGCAATAATACACTGCGAGGTATAAAATGCTAATGAAGGTCGCATGAAAATTTAACAACCTTAGGGAAAGGTGAGCTCCACTTTAATACAAGCTAAATAACCACTAGTTAGCAACAATTATTTACAGGTAAATCAAAAGCAGAATAAAGGAAGGTCATGGAACAGAGCTATGGATGAAGTTACTGTCGAAAAACTGATACAGAAGTTTAAAGATAATGGAGAACTAGACAATGAAGATCCAGCACTACTGATGTTGAAGAAGTGGCCAGCCTCCAAAAAGTACCATGATAACCCTGAGAAACTTCCAGGCCTTGAAAAGCTGGTATGTAATTTGGATATGGAACAATTTTTATGCTTTATGGTCTTCAAAGTGGCTGTACCTTGCCACATATCATCTTTTGATTTTTTTCAGCTTTGAAATTAATCCTATTAAAATTTCACTTTGAAAACTTTTTTTTTCTTTAACACACTTTTAAGGAATGAATATATTTTCCTGTATATCATAACAACAATTTTAGTACTTATTTATTACAAATATTACAGCTCACAGATACAGTAGATTGTGAAGCTTTATAGACTAATATAGACTAAAGGAAATTTAGGTTGAATGAGATTAAAAAATAAAGAAATCTCAAGGAGGTAAGGTTTTCATTTACAGGATAATTTTCCACCAAAAAGATTAGACAAAAAAGAATGACTAAAAAGCTTAAACTTCTGAGAGTGATGTCTCATTAGCACTAAATTGGAGCAGCAACAAGAGGCTGCTTACCACCTAAATCATTAAAATTACATTTTCTCTGATTGTGACTGGTCTAAAAGACTCCTATTTTCCACTTATTCACCAAACAAGTTGTTATTGGACAGTTTGTTATGGGACAGTTTGTTATCTGACAGTTTCTAGTCAGATTGTTTGTTATCAAACAGTTCAATAAGCCAATCACATTCAAAGTTCAGTTTATATCAACCAATCACATTTAAAGTTGTTGTTGAAATCAACCAATCACAACCTTGGTTTCTTTTAAAGCAAATTTTCCCTTTCTTTAATTTATAACTTGGCTATTCGTGATTAATTGGTAATACTCATGTTAAGCAAACTGGACTCCAACTGGGGGCCTTCTGTTTTTGTTATCAATCATATAAATGCAGACTGAATTGGACTCTGCTCAATCGTATTAACATTACAGAATTTTTGTAAGGAAAACAGTTTGGGCTTAAAATATTAAAATGTCTATACCTTAATATACTTAAAATATTGCACAGAAACATATCATGCCTCATCTTTGTAAAACATTTTTTAGACCTTACATTGTTGAGTCGTTATGCCTATAAAGGGATAATTAATTGTTGCCTTTATATCCTTTCATAGATAAATAGATTGTTGGAAATTCTGATGGATAGTGAACTGAACTCAAACAAGAGATATGAAATGTTTAGAGATGAGGATGATAAAACAGGGAAAACGTTGCTTCACTATGCTGCAGAACTTGGATTTTTGCATGTCACTAAAACACTTGTGAAGAAATGCGTTGGACTGCTTAGTGTGAAAACCATAGCACCTCCTAAAAAGCGGGAGCTGTTACCAGTAGAAGTGGCATTAGTGGCAGAAAATGATGAGGTGGCAGCATATTTGATTAGAATGATGCAACATGACAGGTACAGTGAGTTATTTTTAAAAGAGCTTAGAGGATATGGCCCCTAAAGTCTCAAAAGAATTATTGTGAGGGCCTAAATTTTTTGAGGAAAAAAGGAAACCTAACCAGGCTGGGAAATCCTTTTATTTGAAATGTAAAATAGTAATACTTTGTAGGGTAATGGTTTCAACATAAGCTTTTCAGAAATACCTAGAAAGAGATATTATTGTTGAGGAATTATTTGTTTGTTTGCTGATGTCTTTAATATGACAATGCTTGGTGGTGGCTACTTCCAGGCAGGCACCTGCATATCACTGACAAGTACATGAAACTAAGCCCTGTTAATGAAACCTTTTGGGTCTTGGTCACCATTATAAGATTCAACAGGAACAAACTGGGAAAATGAAACTGATACACTGATGTATCTTTTGAGTGGAATATAATGCAGGGCTCACATTTTAGAGTTAGCTCAAAGCACTCTCTACCTACTTTAGCTACCACTTATTGCCTATATTCAAATATACTTTCTTTTAATTATAGAGTCCAGAATTTTTTTTTATGGAACCCAGATAATATAACAAATCCTCAGCCATCATACCTCAATTTCAAATCCATCATTGAAAATCCTGGTATGAAGGTGGGTAGTTTGTGTTTACCGGTACTAAATGGTTGTAAGGATTTTTTTCAAATGTCTTTAAGAAGTTATGTTTTGAATCAATTTACTTGAAAAATTGGAGGTCAACAAATACCATTAAGTGGACAGGCAGAATATAGATATTGGTATATATTTAACAATTTCCCTAAATTGGTTGCAAGACAAAAAAATTGACAGTCAAATACTGCATGTGGGTACTGTTATAGCACAGTTTTTGAGGCATTGAAAAGAACTACAGGCTGTACAATGATGCTAGAGTGTAGTGTTGCAGAATATTTGTCTCATGCAAAACAGATAACGTGCTGCATCCCACATATTCATTGGTACCCTGTTCCATAAGAGAGATATGATTCAAGAAAATATTGTCTAATTAATATTCAACAAATAGTTAAATAAAAACAAGTATAACAATTATATTTACTTAATAATGATAATGATAGTAATACAATAATAATATAAAGGGAGCATGCAGCTAGAAAGCCTCATGGTTTCCCTAGCTATCCTCTGGGCTCCAACAGTCAACTAATCCAATACTTCTTTTATATGTGTTCTATTCTATTGCAATTTTTTCTATGTTTTCAGAAAACCGTAGTGGCTGTTCTAGACCAGATGGTGAATCCACACTGGCCATACCTTCCAAACCGCAAGGAAAGGTATAGGAGTGAAGAGGAGAAAAAGGCAATCGAAGGGGCTTGGAGCACAATTACTGAAAATCCTTTGAATTATCACTTCTTCTATCATATTTTGGATGCTGATGAGAGAGGACGACCTCCTACACTTATGTCATCAGGAGGACAGCAGACAGATAATGATCATTTTAACTGGAGAAGCAAGTCTTGTTTACAAGTGATTGCAAAGAGCTATAACAAGGCAATTTTAACTTCTGACTCTTCTAGAGTACTTTTACATCTGCCTAAACGACAAGTAGTAGCTATCATTAAGAGTTGTACATCATAACTCCTCCCCCAGTCTAGCCTACTAGATATCATGATAAGCTAGCTCAGTTCAATTAGTACTCCAATCTTACCTGCCTTTTTGAGACATACACCCGACAAACATTTTGTACTTGCTTTATTCTGACCAAGTAGTACCTCCCTCAGATCCTAAGCCTTTATATATGGTAACCCTCTAAATATTTCCCAACCCTCAAAATTATTTGCTTATGTGTAATCCCAGCAAGCAGGAGTACCATCTGACTTACATAAAATAAATGAAAATTGTCCGAGCTGACGTCCCTCAAGTCATGAATTATAATGTTGATGATAGGTACTTCCCGTACGAAATTGTCTGGCCGGACAAGAGCCTACAAAAAACGGCCTAACATTTCAACCAAACACGAGCCTAACATCAGCTAGACAAGAACTGAACCAGACAGAGTGGTAAAGAGCCTAGCAAGAACCTGGCACAGAGCGGGAAACGAGCGGTAAAGAAACTCGTAAGAGCCAGACAAAATGAATTATACAGAACGAGAAGCGAGCCTTGCTCAAGCCAGACATTAGGCTGAACCTCAGCCAGACTAGAGCGGTAATTCAGCCTGACAAGAGCCAGACAAGAACAATCATTCAGAACGGGAATACGAGCCCAACACGAGCCGAGCATATTAGCCTGACAGCACAAAATTAATTGGTGATGTAGCTAAAAAATCCCGCATTACTTCGGCCGTACAACTCATAAAACACACAAATAACGACAAAATGGTTTTTTATAAACAAATCTTAGTACACTTAAACACTAAAATACAGCGAATGCACTGTATCTTATCTGAAAATAAGGCATACGCATGGTTCCACTTAGTTGCATGTCTTCTTCAAACCGTAGAAGTTTCCTTCACCGATCGCTCTTGTATGAGACTTTAGATTACGATATGGCATCGTCTACCGTTTTTGGAATTTGCTCGCCCTTTTATTTCGAAGCAAAGCAGTCATGCAGCCTGTAAATAGAATGAACAAAAGGTTACATTTTGGCAAACTGATTTACCGCCGCTCTGTGATACTGTGACTTCAGGTCCAAAATTTTACTTTGCAACACTGCTTGTCTGGCACGCGGCAGTCTCTTGTCGGGCTCTGAAATCAAGCCACTGATAAATTACATCTCGACTTGAAAATATTTGAAGGTATTCATCTTCGTCAGTCTCTTGCCCTGCTCTTGCTAGCCTTGTCCAGCCGGTCGTGGGCTCAGCTGAGAGCTCGACAATCTTTTTGTCCAGCTCTTTTCATGTAGGTGTTAGCTCTATAAACAGTAATCAGGCCGTATTCAGGCTCTATCAGTCTCCAAATTTTTGTACGGGCTTGTTTAAACTCCTCCCCCCCCACCCAAAAAATAGTCCTACCCACTGAAGTTGTTTACACCTATCTTACTGATTCCTCGTTTATTTTCTCTTTAAGGAGGCATTGCAGCATCCTGTGGTCAGAATGTTAATTAAAACAAAATGGAAAAGTTATGGACACTGGTTTCTTAGGTGAGCTATTTAGCTTGTTTTGTAGAGTTTATGTTTTAATAAAGCAAAGGAAGTCAGTACCATCTCATCTGATAAGTGTACCCTTTTCGGCCAAATTTTCCACAAAATTGGTAAGAATTTTAAAACAAGCACGAGATATAAACACTTTAATAAGAAGGACAAATTTCGAGACATTATTGATCAATTCATTTTCACTTAAAAATGTACCGCAAATTCAAAGAAATGTAAACGTTCCGCATACCTACATGACATGCCTAAAAGAGGTGTAAAAAACATTGTGGGGTTATTCGAGAGATCACTGTAGAAATGTTGTCATTAATCGTGATAGAAAATCAGGTTAAAAGCGATTCAACGTATGCAAAGTAAGTTCAACTTTTCAAAGCAGGGGATCTGATAGCCAAGCCTATGGGATCCTCAAATTACCCTTCCCTTTGCTACATTTTTGCAAACTTGTCGCACCTCATTAAAAGTCACTTCCTGCAGAGAAGTGAAGTTTAAATAGGCAAACTAGCCCTGGAACCAAAAGTGTTTCGCTCTTATTTTTCAACAAAATTTTAGCTGTTGATGTCAAGCTTTATTTGGTCAAAGAAGAAAGAAACCCAAGGATTTGGTTTTGTTGAATTTCTAAGAAATTTGAGTCGAACATAATTTGATTCAACACATAGCCATGCATTCAGATGTGTTTTGTTTTTTTGACAGCCTTCGAGCTGCATTCTATGTTGTTTTCTTGCTATTACTGTCATACTCTCTGCTGTATGGTTCTACTAAACTGGACCCCACTCAGTACAGGGGTGCAGCAGATATGCTACGTGGATTTTGTGAGGTTGTCATCCTCCTTCTGGTTGTGTTTTATATCTGTGAAGAGAGCAATCAAATGAGAATGTAAGTATAAACGCTTTTAACTGTTGAAACAATTGTTAATTGTTTTGGTGTCCCATTGCCCGACCATCCCATTTTTCTTTGGAAAGAAAAAAAAATCCTAGCTGCCAAAACATGAAGGTGTATCAAACTATAAAGCTGCGGCTGAGAAGGGTTACTAAGATACAAGACAATTCGTGCGAGCTCAAAAACTTCGACACAACATGTATACAGCTGTTTCGAGTAAGGCTTGAAACATTTTAAATAATTTATGTTATTTTGTGCTTTTTTTTTAAGAATAGTTTAATGAACACAATATTCTACGTTTTCCATAGTTCGGGCCTTAGACATTTTTGTCTATACCATGACGTCATAAAACATGCCGTCACGGTCCAATTTTTAAAAACTCAGGCTAATCCCATATTTTAGTCCCACATTTTTGTCCCTGATATGAATGTCCCCTTGGACCCAGTTTGCTTGAAGAGTGACGAAGGAGCTTCTTGTCAACATGCTCTCCTCTATATAATAAATAGTTGCGAATTACACCCCTACCTCCATACAATGACTGCTTTCCGCTATTTGACTTTGTCTAAATCCTTATTGAGTATAAATATTATTATTTTAATACCTTGATTGAGAAGGGTGGAACAAAGCAAGCCATTGAGCGCTCAAGGCAAGTCGTAACAGGCATTTGTTCTTGCAGCGAGAGACAATCATATTTCACCGAGTGGATAACCCTGTTTGAATGGTTAGGCCTGCTGTTGATCCTGTGTGTAATACCATTCCGATACATTGGAAGTAAAGCACAGTGGATATTTGCATCCTTGGCTGTCTTGTTCAACTTCCTCAGGATATTTAAATTTTCTTGCGTGACAAGGTAATTTACCTTTCAATTCCAGCTTAAGATTTGTACTTTATGGGACATTTTTAAATTCGATTTTCTTCAGTCCTCTGCCTATAGTGCAGTTTGAAGATAAATTAGTCTTAAATCTATTGTTTTAGACCTGTTTATATACATAATAACATGTGGCTAGTATACAGAAATCTTACCCTTGTAATTTCCAATCATCTTAACCTTGGCTTGCAGAACTCGAACGAGTCTAACTGAACAAGTTGTTTTTATTAATCCGTGGTTATGACTTTTGAATTATCTTTTAAAAATCGGAAATCAGTGGTAAGATTTGATTTTCATCCAAGTGAAAAGCACCTCATGAGCAGTAAAAGAATTATTCGTGCTGGTGAAGTTCCGGGAGAAAAAATTACAGGAAATTTACTCGATTTCCTCTGCAAAACGAAAACTCTTAACTCTGAATGCTGGTTACATCCATGAACTTAAAAATGTTCCGATTACCGCATTTTGAATAGTCAGAACGTGGGTCTGATTGTGTGTTGTAAAACTCAAACTTTTATATTCCCCGTAAAATGGCATGCTTTAATCTATTTGAGTTGCCACGAAATATTAAATGTTAGGAAGGCACTGATGCAAATAGTGCGGCTGTGGCATTAAAATTGGAATGGTCGATCGCTTCGTTACACAATTTGTTAACCTTGGATAAAAAAAAGTGTAAAGTGTGTCATAGGTAACTTGACTTTATCAGACTTAGCCATTCATTTTGTAACATGGTTTCTTATACAAAGCCTTCAATATTTTCCAGGTCTACCGGATTATATACAAATACCTTGGCTAAGATCATTCAGCAAGACTTGACGCGGTTTATTGCAGTTTTTATTGTGGTCTTTCTTCCCTTTTGTTGTGCCTTGTTTTTATCGTTACGTCAAGGTTCTAATCAGTACCATCAATTCAGGTAAATCTGACTCATTGCACACCTCCTTGACACTGATTCTCTTTAGGATTATTTTAAAACTAAGTGGTGCTTCAGGGGTCTCGAAAACAGTTACCTTATTTTTTATTATTTATCAACCTACCATTTTAAAAAAATGGAATGATTTCATGTACAAGTTGTTCAGCGATGATTAGGCATGGATTTTGCCACCAACTGAGCTGAAAAGAACTAGTAGGTGGTACGAGTTACATGGGTGCTCAAGCTTGTGGTGTATTTAGTGACGATACAATTTGCTAACAGTGTTTAATTTGCGTCATTGTAATTTTTTAGTGGCTTAGGAGATGTTTTATTGAGCGGTTTTCGAGCGTTGTCCGAACAACGACCAATTGCGGAAGACTACTCAAGCTTCAAGTGAGTTTGTAATTGCTACTTCTCTACAGAACCTGCGACAGTATTAAATTCTGTGCTCAGCGAAATAGCCGAGCGCGTATTTACGTCATACTGCGTTGATATTGCGTACCGTAGTGGTAAATGTTTGGCTTTGTATGCAATGAGTCTCTTCAAGTTGTGTTTGGTTGTTTTCTTCTTGCAGCTGGCTCTCAATTCTGTTAATGCTGACGTACATGGGAACTGTACTTGTGATTCTGCTCAACATACTCATAGCACAGATGAGCACGACCTACAAACAGGCCAAGAAAGTCGCCCGTCTGGAGTATGATGTGGATCGTATTTTACAGCTCACTCGCATGGAGAGATTTCCTTTTCTGGTATGTTAGTATAAAGTTTGGAGACCTAGGTATATTGTTGACTAGAGAAGAGGGCGTTATCAAGGGCGATAAGTCATGTCAGCGTGTGCGCGAAGTTGTGATAAGTTTGATTTAAATGGGAGAGTGTTAAGGGAAAGGACATTAGGAGGATATCAAAGAATAAATAAGCAAATACTTCACTTTTCGAGAGTGACAGGGTGGAAAACTAGCTTTGTTGATACAACTTGAATTAAAGTAAATCTTTACCACTAAATGCCTCACATTTTACTTCTGGCTACAGAAAATCAGGGTATCTTAGTATAGCCCAAACTCTGGCGTTGTTAGGTTGTGACAAGTTTCTTATTGTGAGCATTTCTCTTGATTAACAGTAAACTGTTTATTAATGCCAGTGATAAACATGCTTGTATTATTTAGAATTTGCGCGTAAAGTACTACAAGGAAGGAGAGTGGATCAGTGAAACGAAACTTGCGGAAGGTTTGTTGTTAATCACGATAGTCCAAAGCCTCTCTTGCATCACCAAAAATATACTAAGGGTCTAAGTTTTGTTATGATGTTGCCAATGATTAACTAGCTGGAGCCCTAAAGAAAAAAAAAACTGACAGGGCGAAGTTTGCTATACCAGCTTAGGAAGGAGAGGTTGGCTTTTTTCACTCAACTTTTTTAAAATTACAATCACAATAGGAGATAAAAAAACAAACAGCTCTTAAGAAGTTGCATCTTAAACTTCCCCAAGGGAGGCATTCTTAATGCTTCTGTATTGTTTATTCCTAGAGCTTCTAGAATTTAGTGAGGATCGCAATGCTTGGGAATCAGTTGAAGAAAAGCTAAATGCGATAAGGTGAGAATCATTTGTTCATTTCGAATTCGTTCCAACCAGCTACCTCCCACGTATCTGAGCAGCTAATCGACTACTTAGGTGCCCATAACGTTCTGTTAAATGTCTCAATAATTCCCCATCCATAGGGATATGATGAGGACAATGGTTAGACAGATGAGACTTGGAAGAGAATGAACAGCTGCCAGTCATAACGGTAGAAATGGGACTTTTCTTTAACTCCTTCAATGCGAGAATAGGGAGAATTTTCCCCCCAAAAGCTTGGAAATGAAAACAAATACTGCGTAACCAACAGCAACCACAACAGCAACAAAAAAAAAAAAAAAACAGAAAGAGACAGCAACAGAGAAAACACAAAACAGCCATTCAGCAGTCATTGGAGCGACGCAAAAGTCAGTTGTAGAGCGTAACTTTAAGCAGCCCTTTGTTGAAATGGGCATGTTAATCTATTTACCTGCTTGTCTTTTCTGTTGACATTTACTTATTTAGGCCTCTATTGAAATTTCAATTAGCTTGGTACGTTTTTAAATCACTGAGTTAATCGCCTGGGTTATGTGGCTGTTCCAGCTTCATGGAGGTAACAAACATTGCTGATATTATCAAAGAGACAGGTTAAAACTTCGTTTTTGTGACTAGAAACATTTCCAATCAAGAAGTTGTTTCCTTTTATTTAGCATTTTTGAAGAAAAGACGAAAGTACAGCAGGGGAGATAGTTAAAGCGTAGAAGTGTATTCTGTTTGATGCTCTCGTGAAGTTCTGTACCTTTGATACAGTCTCAGGAGAACATTTAATTATTTTTACATCTACATTGTATAGGGCTGTCCACACACGTTGTGCTATGCAAACTTAATTGCAGAATATTAAATATAAATATCCTTGTACTGAAAGCGTATTGGATAGCATTGAGCAAAAACAACAATTCACGTAGTTTGATTTCTTTTCGATTGTATTCCTTACTAACTCTACTCCCAGTGCACTGTACAGTGCCTTCCTATGTCATACGATGTTCAGTGTATTTGGTTGGCTCGGCCGTTGTAATAATATGATCATCTATTTGAGCGTGATAAAGACTAGAACTGCATTTGTAGGTAGGATGATTCTCCTGCAACACTGCCATAGTTCCGCTACCAAAAGATGGCCGCTACGATGAGGGAAAATGCAGCGAAATAATAACCGATTCTACCTGTTAGCTTTGTTAGTTTTTATTGTTTTAAACTTTACGGAGAGCAGTCTTCACTGATCTTTCCGTAGTAAAGAAACGGGTTCAAACATAAGTTAAAGGTAACTAAAGACAGTGTTATTCCCCCACTGAAGAGTAGATGTGATGAATTTGTTCCTCTAAAAAGATCACACATTTCAATACACACTATGGTACATAACAAAGAACAAATACTAAATGCACCCATAATACCCTGAACACTGCCTTCTCTGTATCGCGCGTCGTGCAATGTATTTGGTTGGCTCGGCTGTTGTTGAACATTATCCGTTTTATTCGAGTGTGATGATGACG